TTGAAATAGGTGTTTCTTTAGCTGTGGACTGCATTCTTGTCATAATAACTCCAGTTAGCGGAGTCTTCAAGAGTCTTCAAGAAGCTAATAATCGTTTAGAAAGTTCTCGTCTTCTGTGGATCCCGAATATAATTTCTCGTGTGATTTGATCGCTTTCGGCTTCTCTAAGTTTATCATAAATCCAGGTTTAAGAGAATTTGTTTTTACTTTCAAGCTGGAATTATCCATTAGAACTATTCTTATTTATCTGCCTTTATGTCCTTATTACACACAAGCCTGTATTCTAAACACGAACAATTAATTTAATTTTTCACAAATTTTTTTATCAGAAAATTTGTGATAAATGTTGAAAGTTCAATTTATTCACGATAAAATACGCAAAACGTCTTGTGCCACATAATATCTTGGTTTAATTTTAAATGTACTAATTTAAAATGCTGTGTATTTATTTTAGTGCAAACTTTTAATTTATTTCTCTGTTGTATATATTATATATTCGATAAAGAACATAATTTGATATTTTAAATATTTTAAATGTTAATTATTGTAATATTTTAATATTTAATAAGAATTTATTGTGATTTGACGGACAAGATTTAATATATATTTATTATATCACAGTATGACGCAACTTTACCATCTCATTAAATTAAAGTAATTAATTATACTATAAATTTATTTAATTATTGTTACTCAGCGATAAACAGTGCCTTCACAGTTATAAAAGCCTTAAGTCTGTTGTAACGATAGTTAGGAACGTCGGACATTAGAGAAATATCCATTTCCACGTTCTTTGAAATGAGTTGGTGCTTCAAGTGACGCCATTTTGTTAGAAGCCAAAGTGACGTGTAGAACTGAAATGGACAGCGCCAAGCGATCTCCGCTCCTGCAATGCATTCTGTCTGTCTGTCATGGCAACATGACAAATCTAACAACTACCTCCATAAAAGCCCGAAGCATCTCTCTCCTTTCCCTCGATGATACGGACAGAATGGCCTAGGCAGGCAAAGGGGAGAGAAGAGAGAAATATATGGACGAGGCTTCGAGGAGTAGCGAACAAGATAGAGTCCTTCTTCCTTGCATCTGATATCTTGTTTGCCGTTGGAAACCATTCACTCACCACAAAAGAAGATAAGTATTACTCTTACAGCCCTTCTAGACATTGTTGATATATGTCTTACATTTTTGCATAAAGAGGTACATTACTGAAACGTTCTAGCCACTTGAGTGAGCTAATCCAAATGTAATCAAAACAAGACAGACAGGCAACCAAGAGGATATAGTGTAATATATTGGTAGATGCTGTGGTTGGCATTTAGGAGCTATCCCTCGCTTTCAGATTCCGCCACTATCGAAGAGTCTTGAGGAAGATGGAAACTACAATTTAATGCGTGGTATCTGTCAGCTGTGTCAGCCTGAGCATTGGTCTATGGGGGTAGAGAAAACCACGTAGTCTCTCAACTTGGTTAGATGGATAGGATGCAATGTGGTTATAATGTAACAGGTACATGATTTTGCAACCTGGATGTTGGATACTGGTAGACATTGCCTGTCTGTGTAAATCTCCTCACTGTCTGAACGAGAGGACAATCTGATAATATTTATCAGGAATTTTTTTTTTATAATTCCAGCGCGGTTAGAATAAAATAAAAAAAAACTTGAAAAGTTAAAAGCTAGTTGACCTGTGGTTATACCGTTCTATTTTGTCTAAATTTTGACTACCCTCTGTTTTCATTGCAGACTGCCAGATGCGTAATGTTAACGTGAGAGCAGTCAACTCGAAACGAAGGAAAACACCCTCCTCTTCGTGCTTGTGAGTCTCTTGAGTTGCCACAACTCTCTCTCTCTCTCTTCTCTCTCTCTCTCTCTCTCTCTCTCTCATAGTCTGGTTGCGCTTAGAACCCCAGCTCCTTAGCAACAGTCTTGACTTGACATGTCTTGGTGTCCAGTGGCTTTATAATTTTGCATGATCAATTCCCTTATCGTCCTCATGTGTTCTAAAAAAAAACCCATTCTTGGCGTGTTGCATCGTGGTGGACGTGTAACTCGAGATGGTTTTACTGTCGTGGAAACATGAGGTCTAATATTTACCTTGATACAATCCTCACAGGTCGGAAATGTTGACGTCCTTAACCTCCAAAGTGTGTTTGCGGTCCGAGTGAATACCAAGCTTGATATACTTACCTGCCCTCTGTCCGATCCTACCCAAACGAACGCCGATGCTGTATTGCGTGTTTCCTGAACTGTTCTGCGAACAGGGGGATGTAGAGCTTGTTTATCGATAACCCACACTCCCTATCTGCTCCATTCTGTGCGAGTTTAGGGTTAAGGGAGGATTGGTGTAATAATTTTTTTTGACATGAATTTTGGCTGATAATGGTAATCAATCTGATTCCTGGAGGGTTTCCACGTGTTGATGTTTGTTGTTTGGCTGTGTATGGTAGTTCTACCCTATATCCCACCCACACCTATCTTTGCCCCAAACAACGTACCCAATTATAACTTGAAAACAAGAAAAGTGTTGGCGGTCCGGTACACTCAAAGCATAGTAAATTAAACATCACAGACAGCTGATGGCAGACGCCTCGAGCTGTTACTTTGTTGTTACAAGACCGACGGACGTATTCATTCATATACTTCAACGGCCTATGTATTGAACCTTTCACAGTTGTCTTGGGGCAAATAAATATTGGCAGGCAAATTATTAGTGAAAAATAGAGATATGATCGTAGAAATTCTCAAAATGAAGTGTTGGATCGCATTAACGGAATGTGATCCAAACTAATTCTACCTTTTTTTCTACTCTTCTCTGCATCTTACTCTTTAATTCTTTCTTGTTTCGCTTTTATTTTCAGTCTCTTGTTCCTACTTTGACTCACAATCTAAAAAGAGGAAGGGAGTGTATAATAGAATTGTAATTTCTAGCCTCGCGCCAAAACCTTAACAGTTTTCTAAAATAACGAATAAAGTATTAGAAAATTACAGATTTTTTTTCTGGAACTTAGACGAAAAGTAAACTTAAGAAGTCTGATATATATATCACACAGGTATGGTAAACGTTTTACAAAAGTTTTATGAATATCTATTACGTTTATTTGAATACGACAACGTTTTTGAACTTAGATTCATGTAGAAATTACGCTCGCGATATCACTTAAAATTCTCAAAAATTGAGACGTCTCTTACAAAAACGTATTACTGATATATATGTTCAGTTTTAGACAATGTTTTGTCTATTTCATAAGTTTCCTACTGGCTATTAGACATGTAAACCAATTTGGTTTAAAATGACCAGTCTAAATATAACGCAGTTTATATTTTAGTACGATACATTTTAAATTCTATTAAAGTACGGCGTTAAATATCGCAATAATCTGACAGTTAAATTTATTAATTGTGTCAACCACAATGCCATTTTTATATATTACTGGATTTCAGTATTTATAATTACCAGGAATTACATCTTATGTCGGACCCTGTCACGTCGTATAATTTTAACTACAGCAGGCTTAAAGTACAGGAGATGAACATAATATACTAAGAGGTGCAAATTATTATGTGTTAAAATTATGTAATATTTGTGCGCTACATAATTTTTCAACATTTCATAAAAGCGAACAGCAAAAAATCATTTCTTTCTCTGTTAAAATTAAATAACAGCGAAGTGTACAATTTTCCAAAAATGTTTAAATTTGACAAAGAGGATATTTTCGTATACCTAATAAATATTTAAGTTCGGGACAGTATAATTAAAGTAGAATGCGTGTTGTATCGGATAAATAGAATGATTATTTGAATTAAACATATTAATTCCTATTATACAGAAGTATCTTACGGTTTTATGCGTTTAAATTAAAAGTGTTAATGTCGACTAGGGAGTGAATTATGGCATTCATGTTTAATAAGCCCATGTTTTAACAGGAAATCAGGCCAAAATATAATATACATAGATAGTAATTATAGCTAATATAAAATCAGTTATTTCAATTGGGCTTTTGTTTTCCAGCTATAAAATTGCGGTAACATATATTACGTATATTAAAAGTAATGTCTACACTTGTTATACGACTTTATTGATTGCTTTCAGAAAAACATAGTAATCTATTTCTTTTACGTTTCCTCAGATTTCGGACAATTTTCCTCTTATTTTAATTTCTCATTATTTTCAGTGAGTAAAACGCATGGAATATTTATTGTTCTCTCAATATTGTATCTTATTTTTGCGATGAAGTAGGGTCTATCAGTTGTTGTCTATTATTACAGCAATATGTAAACATATTAGTTGTGTGTGAGCTTCAGAAAAACGGATGAATCAAAATTAGGTCCCGATGTAAATAAATTATGACTGTAATATGGACAAAGTTGCGGATATATTACTAAACACTTCTTATCGGATCTTGGAGCATACTTCAGGGTTGTTACAATTTAGATTTTTATAAGAAGTCAATATAGCAGCTATAAGTTCATTTAACAATGATGATTTTTTTTAAATCGGGACCTAATTTTGCATCATTCTGTTTTTTTTAAATCGGGACCTAATTTTGACCCATCTGTATTTTTTTCAAATATCGGGAAATATCACTTTATGACGATACATAAAGTTTATTAAGCAAGATTTTACTCATACGTTCTAATGCCGTCGTCTTTATTTCAGGAAATATTTACCGAAACGTTTCTCGTATTAAAAGATAGAAATATAAAAATTCTGAATGCAAGGGAAATTAGTATTTTGCTGGCCCTGTTGTAAATTAAATGTAGTGTTCGTGTACTGATGATAGACCTTAGGAATCATAAATGTATGTGGTTTGTTCGTGATAAGTGGTTGGCAGTTACCTGGACCTCATGTTTAATGTGTATGTCTTGTTAGATAATGCCCTAATGTTTATGAAAAGACTTGTTTTCTGTGTTGAAGTAGTTTGATGAAAATTTCTGTTGTGTTTATTTTGTATTGCAACTGTGTGAAACGTTAGCCGATGGTCGATCTGTTTCTTCTCTTTCAGCTGCACAGATTCCACAACGAGGCAGTAAGTACTCATAATTTTTTTTTTGTATAATATTTCTTATTTTGCTTCAGAGTAAGTAGACTAATGACTACACCCCGAACAGCTTTACCACATTTGAAATTATTTCAAAACGCGTACGTTCCTGGCTGCTCATCACGATATGAAAATTTCCTTCACAAAAATTTGTTTTAAGTTTCCTGCAAGACTGATATAACCACCATAATTTAACAGAAATTTCACTTTCTTTTTTTGAGTTAAAATATATAAATGAGAACATTTCATAGGTTCTATAAACATTTTTTTATATAAATTTTTGAAATATTTTGGGAATAATATTTCAATATCTGCGAATTTACTTTAAATACATCATTCAAATTATCTGACTCCGTCTTATCTCTTAATATCCGTTTTGTATCCAACAAGAATAAAAAAAAACAACACCAGTTATATAAAAACATATCGAAAAGTAAGAACATCTATTTAAATATTTCTCGTAAGTGATACATACCCTACAAGTGACACTGTATGTCGTCTGGAATAATATTTATAAAACAGATTTAAAAGAGAGGCGCTATAAATATGAGAATCCATTTAATACTTTTATTGTCTGATGTTAGGTTATTTCACAATGATCTAGTCACACACTGGTCTTATTTGTTTAATAAGCCTCAATAAATTGTTAAAATTTTTGCATAGGAAAAAGAAAGTGGTTGCTAGTGTATTAAAGCTGTCAGAAAATATTTTCTGATATCATGAACACAAACAGTATTTTAGTTCGCTTCGTGTATGCACAAGTGTTATTAGTAGTTAATTTCTACGTTTTTGATTCAAACGCCTTAGCATCATGCATTAACGTAATTTTAAATTATTTACATTTCGCAAAGTAATAAATTGTTTCATATTTAGAGGATATAAATCCTGTAAATTTTATGTTATTTATTTGAAAATTATTCATATTTTACTGTTATTAAAAACTTGTGTGTACACTGTTTATAAATTTAAGTCAATATAAATTTGGAATTTCTCATTCAATTACTAGTTTTTACATGTAGCCCTGATGAAGGAAGATAGTAGGGCTATACAGAAGAAGATGGAGGGACTCTTATAAGATGAAGCATTAGCCTAAACTATGCACTAGCGGACAAAAACAAATATTCCTTTCTAAGAATTAATAATTAAAAGTGTTTCTCTAATGATGTTTTAATACAGCTCCAAAATGAGTTCAATAAATACTTCAGACGTAACAATGACTTGGAATCACAGTGTAATAACGACCTAAGACGCGATAATGTCCTGGGACTATAATAGTGCAACAACACCTACGTGATTTGCCTTGAATTATCAGTGTACTCCAAAGAGTATACTTTTAAAATCGTGTTAGTTATCAGGTAATTCGTAAAGCCACACATCGGACACATTTTATCTCTTAATTGACTGTAATTTGCTTCCATTCGGTTAGAAATTGATGAAGTGGAAATGATTTAAGTGTGAAAAACTTGTAACCAACCTCTTATCGGCTGCCAAATACCAAACTTTTGCTAACGTTAACGCTAGGTCCCAGAGAGCGTTCTCCCCTGTCCTCCAACTCCATTTTCCATTCGACTGCTCAAGCAAGTGAGACTGAACCTTTGTGTGAGGGAAAGCAGAGTCATCTATGAACTGTGTGCAGAGTTTCACGTGGAGACTAGATTCGTTAACTGGACAACAGCACGTAATATACGTACATCTCGTTACAAGGGATTATAGCAGAAGTGAATGTTCTTACGTAATAAATAAAATCTTTTATACTTCCTCATGTTTAGTTCAATATGAGACATTTATGTATCTCTGTCACGTTATTACGATACATAATTGATACCCTCACATTTTATTTCGTCATTCATCTCAGTGTAAAAGTACTCTATATAAAATATTACTCGTATTCTTTGAATATATTGTGGACCAACCAACCAATTAATTCATAATTCAATTGAATTCATTTATTAAAGTTTTTGCTAACAGCTAGGAGCCAATGACAGCCAAACACTGATAATACATACATATAAAAAAGCAAACAGATTAAATGTGTATATATAATTAATAATAATAATCAGTATTAGCATCATCTTACACTAAATGAAATGTTTAATTCCACCATTTAAACTTTGATTTATACGCGGATTTAAAATTAATGATGTCTTGATGACGTCCGTACAAAGATTAATGTAAATTAACCAATTGCTTCAAAGTAAATGACACTAAGTACACTGTCACAAATACAAACTTATGCCTGCCTTTTTATATTTTGGATGAAAAAAAGTCAGAAATTCGTTTCTCATTTGGGACCTTCGTTTGTGTTCGTGATAATACTGAAAGAATTTTTTAGGTAAGATTTGAGGTTCTCACTGCGTCGTGTTTGAAAATTACTAGTCTGACAAAAGTTCATTTAACGCTTTGAAGCCGAAGCTCGTCTAAATAATATTTAAGAATTCAGTCCGTACCGCGAAGTAAACACAACACTTTACCATTACTAATGTCAACTGGTTAACGCTGTTTAAGTAAATAATCCCTGTTTATACTGAGAACAATACGAAACCCGTACATACAAAACGCTGAGTTATTAACTGTGTAAAGCAGGTGGTACATATAGTTACCACTGGGTCTTAAAGGGTTAAAGGCAGTAACATAATACAGATCAATATGAAATGTGTGGGATATATCAAACTGTGAAGAATCCATGAATAAATATGGAAAATTGGGCGTTTTCAGGATTAGAAACAACAAATACATAAAAGCCATAAAACTTCGTAAAGTAATTAAAATTTGTTTCTCCATATCTAGGAAACAATGCAGTGGAACACAAGTTTTTATAACACCGCGCAATTAATTTTTAAATATTTGTGTACTGAATTAATTAAAAAAGAATCTTACTTAACCAATTCCCAAATAAGAAACTCGGGACCCTAAAAGTACTTTAACCTAACACTGAATCATCTTAGTAGACTAAATTTCATCACTAAAACTCGACAAAATTAGATCACTTAAAGCTTATAGTTTATGCCAAATTGTTGTACGACGTTTTTGTGTTCATAAATGTAAAAGTCTTTTATAAATTTTATCGTTAAAAATAATAATTGTATAACATATTCTAAGAAATGGATTCATTTTTTTTAAATTTAATATTGTAAGCTTAGTCACTGCATATAAAAATTGCAATTTGCCAGTTCTTAAGGCCTATTAAAGGCGATGTAACTTACAGAACCATCTCTCCAAAGTAAGATAATTTATAAAACGTGTTTATGTAAACAGTTCAATGATAAATTTAGCCATAAAGAAAGCAAGCTACTACCAACGCTGAAGAACCACAAAATCAAATCAACTCTGTTGATTAACCTATTGAATTACAAGTCTACAACATTCCAACGATCTGAACGTATTGCTTATTCAATATTTCCCTTTATTTTCCTTAATTATATTATCGATTAATTAATCGAACTACTAAAATTTTACATCGAGTAAAATCTCGACTTTTACCGAGTATTGATCAATAAATACATATTATTAACAGACATTTGTTTAATATCCAGCAAATACACATACTTTATTTGGTCACTGACTAAATAATACATAGATTAAATGATACCAACTTAACAGCAACATAATTGTTCAGCCTTTGTATTACATTGCTATTAAGAACAGTGGCTACGCCTTATATAATAATAGTGTTATATTAAATATTCAGAAGAATTCCGTAGTGAAAGATATTTAGTTAAGGAACCTCGCAGAAGAATATTGATTTTATTCTGTCTTTAGATATAAAACTCTCATGTCAGAAATGTTCTAGAAGCTGTCAGATTTTATCGTGTATTTTCTATCTAAGATTGAATAATTGGTTACATAATAAGACCATAGGCCTCCCAAGTATCGAATACGCATGTTTTAAGTGTATTCGTAACAAACGCGAGATCGGTAGAGTGCATAAGAATCGAATCCCGTTTTGATCCAATTTTTCCTTCAGAATAAAAGCCAGTTTTTAAACAATTTTTTTTCAAATTTTCTTATACATCTTGTCAGTCATTTCTCATAGGTGACCGCTATTTGCTAGTACTCTCCCATAGAGATATACGAAAAACATTGCTTATAACGCAAAATAAACAGACGACATGAATTATGTAATCGAATTTCGATGTTACAATCGTGTTCTAAGTAAAATTAAGATCAACTCGAATTTAAAATATCCATAGCTCCCTAACCGTTTAAAAACGTTGACGTATTATGACATTTATATCTGAGAATGATCTCAGAAATAAGATCATCGGACACTGGGTGTACGTAAACGCTAGACTCATATTTGCCTGGAGGTTGTTGAAAGGGCTGTTTTTTGTAAGAGGTAATAGAAATTCTGTTGATATTACTTATGCTGGTAAGGGAGGGTAGAGAAACCGCCATCCAGTGTCAGGGTGGGATTGAATCTAATAGGGTTGCCGACGATGCGGGTAGGATAATCATGAGGGGGTAAAATTATTCACAATTCCTAACCTGAACAAGTTAGACCTCCGAAGTGGAAACAGACTTCGTTGAGGGTATCGAGTTGCTGATTCATGTTTTGGTTGGCGGTTTTGCGAAGCATAGGATCCTTACTTTAAACCTTTGACAATTCTTGCTTCATTAACCCATATGGGTTTCATTTCAGTACAGACCTCAAGGGATGAAATCTGTGTGCGGGAGTCACAGCTTTGAATGCTGAGTTACGTTTTATATGTCTTAATATCTCGTTGTAAGGATGTCTGACTTCTTCTGCGTTTGTAAAATAGTGTTAAGGATGATTTATTTCTTATGGGTTTGGGTGCAATGCAGACTCGTAGGTGGATACCAACTTTTTGGAGAAACAGTGGTTTCCATCTTCATGAATGAAGTTGGGGACAGGAAGTTGGCATTTGCACACGTGTCTGTACTACGCCAAAGCCAAGAAGAACATTGTCCTCAAAGCACCGAAGACATAAAATCTCACACTTTGGTCTTCTTATTAAAATAAATCTATC